CTCAACTGTAACCACTTCTCAATGTCTTCAGTAACTTCCATCTTAACAAATCCAATGGTCAATTCTCAGTCATCTTACTCAAACCCTGAAAAGCAGAATTTGTCCAAGTTGATGACTTCTCCTGAAATATTTTCTTCACTAGCCAAGCTACTAGAACCCACATCCTACTGGTTCGACTCCTACCCCACTCCTTCTCAGTGTCCTCCCTCCTGTCTCTGAATTCTAAAGGCTGTATTGCTTCAGGGCTCCTTCCCTGGATGGTTTCTCTACCTACATTCATTCTCTAGGCCATCTCATCTAACCTCACAGTTTTAAACACCATTCATAAATTGGTAACAGTTAACATCCACTGAATACTACATGCTAGACATTGTTCAAACGCTTTGCTTGTGTTAACTTATTTAATCTTCACAATAACCCAGTGACGTACATATTATTACTGTCTCCATTTTATAGAGATGTCAAATTAACTTGTCCACTATTACATAGTGAATGCCAAAGTTGAAAACTGCATTTACATCCAAAGTTCTTGTACACTGCCTCTTTGCTAATGATTCTCAAATTTCAATCTCTAATCTAAATCCTGGCTTCTAACCTTGACTCTAGGGTCATAAATGTAAATCACTTACCTGATAATCTCCTATTTCCAGCAGACATCTCAAAATGTCCAAAGTGAGTTACTGCTTCCCCACCTTATCCTCAAACAAACCTTGCTCTACCACGTTTTCTCTTCTCAGCAAATGACATCAGCATTTATCCACTTGCTCAGGCCAAAACTGGTGACGTGTAGCTGATATATAGATGGAATGTGGGTGCCCGGACAGATATGTATACTGAATTAGTAGAGCTTAATTTTTAAAAATAAATATAAATATACAGCTCCAGCAGTTTCTTCTTATACCACAACGGATGGTCATGAGCACACTGAAAATCACAGACCTAGATCACTGCAAAAAATTCCCAAATGGTCAAATGCTTCAGATCTCACCTTTCCTATGGTCAGTTTTCCACTCAGTAGCTGAAATGAATTTTGTAAAATGTAAATCAGACCTTGTCACAACTCTGTCCCCAAACTCTCCCATTATGTCCAATTACACTCAAAATAAAATTCATGGGCAATAAGGCCCAAAATGCTCCAGCCCCTGCCTGCTCCTTCACTCTCAATTCCTATTATTCTCCATTTCGTTCTCTGCACTTGTCAGACCAGCTTTCTTGCTTTTCCTCCAACATACCAAACTGGTTCTCAGTGAGCTAGGTCCTGACTCATGATTTTCACATTTACCATTCCTTCTGCCTGGAATAAATTTTTGCAATATCTTCTGCATCCAGATTGCTGCTTCCCTCAAAACAGCCTTCCCTGACTAATCTATCAAAACAGCCCCCACTTGATCACATTCTCTCCCTTTACTGTGTTATATTTTACAAACTACCAATCACTTCTTCACATGATTTATTTGTTCATTTCCTGTCTTCTCCACAAAATGTAAGCTCCATGAATGTTTACTCATCCTTGTATTCCCAGGATTTAGAACTGTGCTTGATATAAATTGGTTACATAGATAAGTAATGTTGAACAGATGAATAACTTTGGTTTTAAAAGCATAATCCTTTATAATCCATTGTTAATATTTCTCAACTTTATCAACCAAAATTGTTGGTTAAAATAATGTTCAAATCATTTTAAAATTCCAGATACCTATATTTTTACAGAATCAAAAAGGACATTTATATATGGTTTTATCTCTGTTCTTCCCACTTAACTGACAATCAGGGGTGGCACTGAAATAGTTAATAATCAAGTAACACACAAAGAACTTTCTTACGGTGGTGAAGAAGCAAATGTTGAATGGTTCTATGAAGACCTCACCTACAAGACCTTCTAGAACTAACATGCAAAAAAGATGTCCTTTTCACGATAGGGGGCTGGAATGCAAAAGTCGGAAGTCAAGACATACCTGGAGTAACAGGCAAATTTGGTCTTGGAGTACAAAATTAAGCAGGGCCAAGGCTAACAGAGTTTTGCCAAGAGAATACACTGGTCATAGCAAACACCCTCTTCCAATACCACAAGAGAAGACTCTATACATGGACATCACTAGATTGATACCAGATTTATTATATTCTTTGCAGCCAAAAATTGAGAAGCAAAACAAGACTGGGAGCTGACTGGCTCAGATCATGAACTCCTTATTGCAAAATTCAGACTTAAATTGAAGAAAGTTCATGACACTGTACAGGAGGCAGTAATCAAGACCATCCCCAAGAAAAAGAAATGCAAAAAGGCAAAATGGTTGTCTGGGGAGTCCTCACAAGTAGCTGTGGAAAGAGGATAAGCAAAAGGCGAAGGAGAAAAGGAAAGATATACCCATCTAAATGCAGAGTTCCAAAGAAACAGCAAGGAAAGATAAGAAAGCCTTCCTCAGTGATCAATGCAAAGAAATAGAGGAAAACAGTAGAATGGGAAAGACTAGAGATCTCTTCAGGAAAATCAGATATACCAAGATAATATTTCATGCAAAGATAGGCACAATAAAGGACAGAAACTGCATGGACCTAAAAGAAGCAGAAGATATTAAGAAGAGGTGGCAAGAATACACAGAAGAACTATAAAAAAGATCTTCATGACCCAGGTAACCACAATGGTGTGATCACTCACCTAGAGCCAGACATCATGGAATGTGAAGTCAAGTGGGCCTTAGGAAGCATCACTACGAACAAAGCTAGTGGAGGTGATGGAATTCCAGTTGAACTATTTCAAATCCTAAAAGATGATGCTGTCAAAGTGCTGCACTCAATATGCCAACAAATCTGGAAAACTCAGCAGTGGCCACAGGACTGGGAAAGGTCAGTATTCATTCCAATCCCATAGAAAAACAATGCCAAAGAATGTTCAAACTACCACACAACCTTACGCATCTCACACACTAGCAAAGTAATGCTCAGAATTCTCCAAGCCAGGAGGTTTCAAGAGTATGTGAACCATGAACTTCCAGATGTTCAAGCTGGATTTAGAAAAGGCAGAGGAACCAGAGTTCAAATTGCCATACATTAAATTGTACCATCGAAAAAGCAAGAGCATTCCAGAAAAACATCTACGTATGCTTTATTGACTATGCCAAAGCCTTTGACTGTGTGGATCACAACAAACTGTGGGAAATTCTTCAAGAGATGGGAATACCAGACCATCTTGTCTGCCTCCTGAGAAATCTGTATGCAGGTCAAGAAGCAACAGTTAGAACTGGACATGGAACAACAGACGGTTCCAAGTTGGGAAAGGAGTACATCAAGGCTGTGTATTGTCACCCTGCTTATTTAACTTATATGCAGAGTACATCATGCGAAATGCTGGGCTGGATGAAGCACAAGCTGGAATCAGGACTGCCGGGACAGATATCAATAACCTCAGATACGCAGATGACACCACCCTTATGGCAGAAAGCGAAGAAGCACTAAAGAGCCTCTTGATGAAAATGAAAGAGGAGAGTGAAAAAGTTGGCTTAAAACTCAACATTCAGAAAACTAAGATCATGGCATCCGGTCCCGTCACGTCATGGCAAATAGATGGAGAAACAGTGGCAGACTTTATCTGGGGGGGCTCCAAAATCACTGCAGATGGTAAGTGCAGCCATGAAATTAAAAGGTGCTTTCTCCTTGTAAAAGAAGCTATGACCAACCTAGACAGCATATTAAAAAGCAGAGACCTTACTTTGCCAACAGAGGTCTAGTCAAAGCTGTGGTTTTTCCAGTAGTCATGTATGGATGTGAGAGTTGGACTGCAAAGAAAGCTGAGCACTGAAGAATTGAAGCTTTTGAACGGTGGTGTTGAAGAAGACTCTTGAGAGTCCCTTGAACTGCAAGGAGATCCAACCAGTCAATCCCAAAGGAAATCAATCCTGAATATTCATTGGAAGCACTGATGCTGAAGCTTAAACTGCAATACTTTGGCCACCTGATGTGAAGAACTGACTCATTGGAAAATACCCTGATTCTGGCAAAGACTGAAGGCAGGAAGAGAAGGGGACGACAAAGGATGAGGTGTTTGGATGGCATTACCGATGCGATGGACATGAGTTTAAGTAGGCTCCGGGAGTTGTTGATGGACAGGGAAGCCTGGTGAACTGCAGTCCATGGGATCGCAAAGAGTTGGACATGACCGAGCGACTGAACTAAGCTGAACTGAGATAGATTGAAGGGTTTGGTTATGGGAAAATGAGATAATTTTTTTCGGAGTGCTTTACTTTCTCCCATAAGAAGGAGGCAGGATCATTAGCTGAGAGTCAGAGTGGGAAGGGGTTTGTAAAGTTTGAGAGAGAGGAGGTGGTGTCAGATAGGCATCTTGGGAAGTAAGAGAGTGAGTTCACAAGGGAAGTATGGGTGGAATGTCAAGGAGCTCAGGGGTCCCATCTGAGTTTATTAACGTGACTATAGGTGGCTGAGGAGGGAAGTGTGACTTTGGGGGAATGCACAGTGGAAAGGTGGTAGAGACAGTGCCCCCTCTGCTTCTGGTTTGAACTCTTTCGTCTCGCCGAGAATTGACCATTGGATTTAAGGTGGAAGTTTCTTCTCAGGTTCATGGATATCGACAGAGGAATTAGTGAAAGTGAATAAGCCAAAAAATAATCATCTCCTTTTTGCCTGTATTCAGTATCTGTTTCATGCATGATGTTTCATGTAGATGATGAGTTTGTAGAGGTGTTTATGTTGCCATATCTCCTTTAGAATGCCTGCTATACACAAATTATATCAAGATGGCACTGAGACACTTTCAATGAATTATATTTGGTTGCGAAGAAAGTAAAAAAAATACGTGTGTGTGTGTGTGTGTGTGTGTGTGAAGTCTCGAATGGAGAAGCTTTGTAGTTTTTCCTGATAGAAAAACCTCATCAAAGTTTTCCCTGGGACCTGTGGTTTCTGTTAATCTAGAATTATCACTCATGTTGACGTCATAATTTTGAGCTGGATTACAGATGAATTCAAAGTCTGGTTTTCTGTTCTTTCAGGTGCTGGAGAATCTGGCAAAAGCACTATTGTGAAACAGATGAAGTAAGTTGGAACATGGTCTTTTGTAAAACTGTTCAATACATTTCCTCAAAATGCATAAAAGTCCATAGTGTCTTTCATTTTAGTTCCATGGTAATGATTTGTGGTTTTCTTTTTTTTTTTTTTTTAAGAATCATTCATGAAGATGGCTATTCAGAGGAAGAATGTAAACAGTATAAAGTAGTTGTCTACAGCAATACTATACAGTCCATCATTGCAATCATAAGAGCCATGGGACGGCTAAAGATTGACTTTGGGGAAGCTGCCAGAGCAGTAAGTGTTTCTCATTTCCTCTTTACTTGCTCTTTTTCAGTAGATGCAGTTAAGCAAAATCTGCTTCATGTTTTAGGGAAATAAATGTAAGTGACAGGATGTAGCAAAGTACTGTCTGCTCATTTGAGATGTGTTAACAATCTACTTTAGGAGATATTTGATTACTGCCAGAAGTAGAACTCTAGGAAATGGGATTCTGTGGATATACTGTCGGGTTTTGTGGTAACTGTTTTATTCACTGGCTGCTTTTACAGTGCTGTTGACTTTTGTAGTAGTAAATGATAATAAATTAAAATGATCTAAAAGAGTTTGTCAGGATAATTAGCTCTGCTTTCTGAGGTGTAGAGATTAAAAACAAATACCAGTCTCTGGGATAAACTTGAGAAGGACATGAACACTAAGTCTTGATTTTAGAGGTGATTTTCCGGTATTCAAGAATACTCTATCCTTATACTACTCTGTATTACAGGCTATAGAATTGAGTTTTACCATGTCCTAGTATAATTTTTGTAATGTCAGATATTCAGAAGTTGTGTTGATTGATTATAATACTTATTGGGCCCTGAAAGTGTAGTTTGCAAATTAAGATATTCGATACAGTGGGGAGAGGGCCAAAATGAGGGTGCAGGATTTTTCATATCATCATTAGCTAAATTCCAAGAGAAGCCTGGGAATGTGTAACGCTTTCCTAGAACTAAGGGAGTCATCAGCTGTGTTCATTATCAGTCATACTTAGGTGCTGTGGTCGATGAAAGGAAGTGACTTCAGGAGGCTGCTTGGAAAGGCAAAGCCTCTATGTCTGTAAAGTAGCTTAGGAACTCTTCTAAGCAACTGTCAACTTTTCAAATGCAAATTAATATTCAGTAAATAAGTGGGAAAAGTATTGGAGGGAGTCATAGTAAAAGGATGGTTATAATTGATAACGTTAGACTGGAAAGTCTGGAGGTGCCATGAAGGAAGGGAAGGTGTAATGAGGATTGTAAAATGATTGGAGAGAAGAAAAAGGGAAGAAGAATGTGTGGGGCATGACTTTGATATTTTTGTAGAAATTCCATATCACAGAAATTAGAGACTGTTTTTCTAACTCTGAGCAGGAAAAATGTGGTAGCTGAGACAAGAATAAACTGAAGTCTTTATTTTTGTCTTATTCCTTTCTATCCCTTCTCTCATCAGCCTGTCTTCCTTCTTCTCCACCCCATCTACCAGTTCTTTCTTGTGTTCTTACTCTCTTCCTCTCTTTTCTCATTCCTTCTTATTACCAACTCTGTTTCTCTGTCATATTTGCTGTATCCAATAACTGGTTAGTAATACTCTCTTCTCTCTCTTTGTTGGCTTTTTCTCCATCTCAATTATTTACTTACTTTCTTAGTTTCCTCCTCTTTTATTTCTCACTATCTGGTCTCTTTCTATCCTCCTGGCCATTCCTTCTCCTTTCCTTTCTTTCCTCTGTCAAATTAGTTGTTATGAATCTTTAGGTCCCATCATTCCTTTGTCACCAGATGCAGTTGACATTCTGTCTTAGAATGTTCAGGCTACTATAATAAAATGCCACAGATTTAGTAGCTGGAAATTATTCCTCATACTTCTGAAGGCTGGAAGCCTGAGAACTGGGTGCCAGCATGGTCTAGTTAGAGCTCTCTTCCAGGTTGCAGACTTCTTGTTGTGTCCTCACTAGGCAGGAGGGGAAGGGATCTGTCTGGAGTCTTCTTTTATTAAGGGCATTCACGAACCATTCGTGAGGGCACCACCCTGATGACCTAAGCATCTCCCAGAGGGCCTGCCTCCTAAAACTATCACTTGGATTTCAACATAGAAATTTGAGGGGGATACAAACATTCACACCATACTATCCCTCTTCCTTTCATTTTTATCTTGATCAAATCAGTACCGTTAATCTCCAGGTCCTAACACTCCTGTGTCACCAGATGCAGTTGACATTGTTAATTCCTCTCATGTCTGCTGAATCACCTAGCCCTCCAGCATCTACTCATCATAATCTACAACCCTATATAATTTTTTGAAGTTTCTCTTTTTTTTTCTTTCATATGTAAGGATTTATATTTATAGCTCCTCACTTATCTTTTGCTAGTTTTTTGTAGTTGGTAGGAGAGTGAATGGAAAAGCATAGAGCTGATGTGGGATAGGTTGTTTTTTCATATCTGCTTTATAGGTGGAGGTGTGATGATAACTGAAAAGAGTGGCCTCTTTATGGACCTATAAAAGAGGGTTTATTGTGGACAAGCAGGAGTAGGTCTTTGGAAGGGGTTAAAGGAAAGATATTTCCTCCTAAAACTTAACAAAGTCAAGACAGCAAAAATATGTATCAGTATCTCTGTTTTAAAGTTTCTAAAATTAGAATCATGGTATTTAGAAACACTAATACTTATTGAGGTTTTGAATACTTGCATGAGTATAGGTCAAATTTCAGAACCAAGGGACTATAAAGTCTTTATTTTTTTTAGCTAAAAAAACTTCAGGTTTATTTTTGGCTGTGCTGGGTCTTCGTTGCTGTGTAGGTGTTTCTCTAGTTGCTGTGAGTGAGGGGTTACACTCTAGTTGTGGTGCATGGGCTTCTCATTGCTGTGGCTTCTCTTGTTGTGGAGCACGGACTCTAGGGCGTGTGGGCTTCAGTAGTTGTGGCTCCCAGGCTTTAGAGCACAGGCTCAGTAGTTGTGGCATATGGGCTTAGTTGCTCTGGCAGCATGTGGGGTCTTCCTGGATTAGGGATCAAACCTGTGTCTCCTGCATTAGCAGGCAGATTCTTTAACACTGAGCCACCAGGGAAGTCCCTATAAAATCTTTAAATGTTAAATAAGGCGGTATACCATATCTAACTTCCTTGGTGGCTCAGACAGTAAAGAATCTGCCTGCAATGCGGGAGACCCAGGTTTGATCCCTGGGTCAGGAAGATCCCCTGGAGAAGGAAATGGCAACCCACTCCAGTATTCTTGCCTGGAAAATCCCATGGACAGAGGAGTCTGGTAGGCTGCAGTCCATGGGTTTATACCATATACATAGAAGGACATGCCCGCTGTTGAGTACATTGCCAGTTTGTGTAATTTTTGAGCTTCTCTCATTCGTTCCTTTTTTATAAAATTATTATCTCTGAAAGTAGAGGAGGGGAATATAGTTAGATTAAGTTTATTAGAGAGGGACGGTTCTAAAATATTACTGGGAAAAATACTGGAAAGACTCGCAAAAGAAGAATATTACCTGACTGCTGTGATATAGTTGGCTGCTCCCCTTTCCCCTGTGCTGCTTCTTCATGCATTTGTTTAGCGGTTGCATTTTTCCAGCTAATTAAAAATCTCCTGAGACAGATAAATATTAGATTCAAGGCAGGGAAATCACCCCATGAGATCTGTGTTTGTTTTAAAGTATCTGACAAGCAGGGCTGGGTAGAATAAAGCGAAGCAGTCACAATTCTCACAGCCCTTTCTGTCCTCTTTATCTCTCACATGTCTTAGTTTTTAAAACTATAACCACTTAGAAAGCTGTGCCTGTGACTCAGGGAGTTTTGATCAAATCTCTTTGTGGTACTTTCTTTTTCTTCTACCTTTCTTCCTCTTTCTTATTTAGAAGATTATTATACTTCAGGGAAACCTGGAGACTCTGAATTTTTCCCTTAGGGATTTATTTCTCCCACTAGATATCCAGACTCCGTAAATGCTTCAGTCTCTTCTTCTTCTGTTCTTCTCTCTGAGATTTAGGGGGGGAAAAGAGAACAGTGTTGCTTTAAACTTGATTAATGTTTTACTCCCTTTGATGTGCTTAGACTTTACCTCTTATCTGCTAGTCTTTTCATTTCTATTTTATTGTAGGCTTCCTTTAACAGAATAGGGATGTAGTCCATGTGCCTGTCTCACAGACCAGTTTTTTGTCAAATCACGAGTAACCAGCATGGAGATTTGTAGGACCGTCAGGAGAGATCTTTTCAGGGAATGGTAGTGTGAGAAGTGGGAGTGGGGGTGAAATCATCCCTCAGCTCTGCTCTGCACTTCTGACTGTAGTGGAGTGAGAAGGGAGGAGACAGGCTTCATTGTAAATTCTCTCAAACTACACTGCCAGGAAAGGTCTCTTTCATGTGTCTTTTTAGAACTAGTTACCATGTATTGTATATTTGCATGTGTGTGTTAAAGAGACACTTACTAAGTCTTTAAGAAATAGAGAATCATCTGTCTCTCTCCCTTAAATGCTTTCCTCAGGACGATGCCCGGCAATTGTTTGTTTTAGCTGGCAGTGCCGAAGAAGGAGTCATGACCCCAGAGTTAGCAGGAGTGATTAAGCGGTTATGGCGAGATGGTGGGGTGCAGGCTTGCTTCAGCAGATCCAGGGAATATCAGCTCAATGATTCTGCTTCATAGTAAGTAATTTTTCCCTGTGAAACTGAAACAAAGTATCTTGGTGACCCTATTGAAAGTTTAGTGCCTATTCTTAAGGAAATGTTTTAGGAACAGACACTCTTAGAATTCTGTAGGATATATTTATAAAAATTGTTTCAGTTTAGGGTAATAGAGCCATTGGTCATTTTATGTGGCTTGGAGAAAAATATTTCCTCTTTGAATGTAAATGGGAGACTTGGCATCATTAAAGTAGCTCTGTGGTCATTTATAGTAAATAAGTAAGAGGAGAGAAATCTATTGCAGCTGAGTCCTGAATTTCTTTCAACTAAGTAAGTTCTCTCTGCATAAGGGCTTTACATTGATTGCCAGCCAACAAGAGAAGTTAAAATTGTGATATGCCTTTTATGCACACAACTCTCTGTGGCTGGGCTGCACTATGGATTTCTCTGGTACTAGTCACCACTTAAAAATCTTTTGTCTAGATCACAATAATAGGCTTTGTATAGAAGGGGAATGTTAAGTCTTGGGACAAAGTTGAAGCATTTGTCTGTTAAAAAAATTCTCTGGAGTGTTACATAGTTTTAGAAAATTTGTAAGTAATACTTCTGTTAAGCTATTGCATGTTGTCCTATATTGCTTCTTGTACAGTGTATTTATAAGACCTATATTCAGAATGTGTGGGTTTTTTCTTAATGTTGTTTTGGGGTCATGGTGTGCTCTTGTTACCTGTATTCATCTATGTACTAAATGAAGGCATTTCTAAGCATTAAGGTATTTTTTCCAATATTATATTCTCCTACTTTTCCTATCATTCTAGCTTAAATTGTTATAAGAAGAAATTAAATGATATTTGAGAAACATATCTTTTAAATGAAAACTTGACTTTGGAAACATGTCAGGATTCTAGAATTCTCTCCGTAGTCATCAAAGCTAGATTGTAATTTTTAAAACATGCATTCAGTAAGCTCTGAATCCTCTTAACTATACCTGAAGACACATGATTTATAGAGTAGTTTTTTTTTTATAATTGCTGATCTAAACTTGACTGATTCCTTAACATTAATGATGGTACTTAGTTTTGTGTGTGTGTGCATGCTGAGTCGTATCCGACTCTTTGCAGCCCCGTAGACTATAGCCCACTAGGCTCCTCTGTCCATGGAATTTTCCAGGCAAGAATACTGTAGTTGGTTGCCATTTCCTACTAAGTTTTATAGATGGTCATTAATGAATCACTTACTATGGTATCAACTTTTCTTTAAAAAAAAAATGGGGGGGCCTGAAATTGTGAAGAATTTAATTTAGCTTTGAAGCAGTTTTTAAATTATTTCACTGAACAAGTGAAGTTTCTTTGGAGGTATTTATCTGTTTTTGGCTTAGATTAAAAAGAAATCCTTTAACTTTTCTCTTTCATGAATGAAAACAGGAGGAAATAAATACTCATTCTTACTGAGCTTAGTAGTTCTTTTTAATTTTAATAATTCAAACAGCATTTCTAATGACCCGGCAAATGTTTAAACAGACAAACAACCCATTAGTTTAAATGTCTGAGGGCTTTTGTTTGGTTGGATATTTGTACTGTGCAGTACACAGTTGATTTAGTATTAAATTTCAGGAGTCTTTATTAAGAATAATGTTTTCATGATTTTTAATTGGCTTTCACAGTTAAATTTTGGTAGAATTAATACCACTTTTGTGTAGTGTATAAAGAATCTACTTTAATTGTCCTGTGCTAGATTTCCTTTTTTTGCCTTATTATTTCTGAGATACTGAAGATCTGATTTGTTCTGCCACTTTAGTGACAGGTACAGGTTCTGCTTTCAGCAAGGAACTAGTTTAGTCTCTTGACTTGCTCTGCACATGGTTGGCTTTATTAGGTAAAAATAAATGTGTATTTTACTTATTAGTTACCTAAATGATTTGGATAGAATATCCCAAACCAACTACATTCCAACTCAGCAAGACGTTTTGCGGACAAGAGTGAAGACCACAGGCATTGTGGAAACACATTTCACTTTCAAAGACCTATACTTCAAGTAAGTCACTAGCCTTTTTCTAGATATGCCAAACACAAATATCTTTCCTTTAGTTAGTATCTGTTAATCAGGGTAAAATTTATCTAGGCAACTTTCTTTGATTCAGAAATTTATAATTATACTCATCTGCTAGTATTTGGCTGTTTTAAGGGTCCAAGTGTTTCTACAAATAGCATCAAATATTTTTTCTTTTTGGAGCAATTTGAATTCAAAATTAAATTAGAACTTACATATCAATAAAAGTAATCATGTGGTTACCAATTTATTTTATCTTTAATTTTATTCTTTTCAGCTGCTTTTTTATTGGAATCACCAAAACAGGTATTGAATGTTTGTTGTTTAGAAGGGTAGCAACAATACTAAAAGGATAGAAAGTAGTGTTTTGGTTTAGTTTATGTGGCTTTGTTCTGGCATTTTGATATTAAAATAGAAGTGCTTTTCTCACCAGTGTCAACCGTTTCTTACTGGATCTCACTTCTCTTTAAGTTTAATGGAATGAAGCTAATATTGTTATGGCCTTTGATTAGTGCACAGTATAATGCACAGCTTAATTCTTAATACTATGTACAGAGTGGAATATTGATCTAGGGGTAGAGTTATTTTGCAGAGGTAAGATGATTTATAAACAATTCCTGTTTTAGAGAGAGAAAATTCTAGTATTCTAATAACAGAGGATTTTCTCATCAGCATTAGTAATTCTAGAATAGGCTTCAGCTTGTCTCTGTGTTAATAATAGACCTGTCTTTTTGGTTCCTGTTTTCTGCTTTTTGACCTTTGAGCTTAGGAGTAAACTTTCCCACTTCAATATATGATGTCCTTTTTAGCTACTTCGTTATGCTTATATGTAGAATGTGATATTCAGCATTATTGCATGCAAATGTAACTTCTAGCTCAGATTCTCTCAATTTTCTTTTCTCTGAAAAAAATTGTTTCATAGAATTCTGTATGCAAAACCTAGAACTTTCAACTCCATACAGAGTCCAAAATCCATACAGAGTTTAGCTATTACTAGACACTAGTTGAGGTCTTGAAGTCTTACTACACCAAAATGAATTTGAAACCTGATGCAGGAAAATATCAGATCAGCTGAATATTTTTAGAGTAGAAGAGCTGCTTATCATAGTACTGATGAATTTATTAACAAGAATAGCAGAGTCTCCATGGATTATAAGTCATGAAACCATAAAAATTAGATGACTGTATGCTATAAGATTAGTAATGCATTTATAATTATGTTATGACCTTATTTAGTGTGGGAAACTTGTTGATGTCATAGTTGATCTTTAGTTAGGTAAATCCTATTGGTCTCTTTATGTCAGGATTAATAGCCTGATCTAATTAAGGTTCTGCACACACTTTATTGTTGGCTTGTAGATATCTTGTTATGAAGTACTATCACTTCTTCCTTTTCCTCTTCTCTCTAGGCAAAAACCACTATCCATTTATTCAAACATTTATTGAGCATCTGCTATATGCAAGGCATTCTGTAATTGCTTACTTGCCTCTCAGTTATGAGGTAATGTTTATAAAATGTTGATGTTAGTGAATGATACTTTAAATGTTAATATGTGTGAAAAGCCCACTTTGGGAACTTCACAGTGTTCTACCAGTTTTATAGATTTTATAGAAAGAAATGGTAGAGCATACTGAAATTATTGGTGTACCAGTGTGTGTCTGCCCTTGAAAGGTCCATGGTGAAATATGTGATGTTAACTTTTCTAAAACTTATGACATGGCCTTGTATTAGAGCCAACTTGTGATTGCCTCATTTCAGGGGTCAGGACTAAAGTTTCAAAAAACTGCGTGAGATCAGCCAAAGTGATAGTTGGGTCACGAAGAGATGAGATGACTGTTCTTTTCAAGCATACACTGAAAAATTACTCAACTATGTCTTACATTTCTCTCAATCTCTGTAGGAACTATTCTCTGGAAATAGACACCTAGTCCCTGTAGGTCTGACACACTGAGCCAGCTTGGCAGAGTTTAACCTTGGAACATCTTAGTGCTGTCGTCAGATGTGCATCTTAGGAGTAGCTAGCCACTTGTGTGCATACCTCCTCAGACCCTGGTGCAGTTAAAAACATAGCAGTGCAGGTCCTCCTTTTGCTGTAGGTGGGGAAAGAGGACACTGCTGACAGAAGTTCAGCAGTTTACTCAGAATATCGAGTAAGTCTCCTGGAAGGGATTAGTGGGCTAAAACTAATCATAAGTGGAACATAAGGTGTGTGAACAGTTTTGAGGCTTTGTTATTATTAATTAGGTTGAATGAGACTTGAAGTTGGAAAATACTGGTTAAGTTTTGTGTTTAGATACTGGATTCTTAGAGTTCTACAATAAAATATAGTTTACTTTTTTCTGCAGTTAATCTCGAAAATATTTTCCTTAAAGTAAGAAAAACATATCTCAGTTATAACTCAATTTAAAGAAAGAAAAAGTAAGGAAAACAAAATTTTGAATCAGTAGAGTTATGGAATCAGGATGCAAGTTGGAGATTTATGTTTTTTCATTGTTCTTTTTCTTTTTTATCTCTTTTAACTAAAGAGATAAATTGTTTTGAGAGGTAGAGTGGTGTTGTGGGTACCAGCTTGGGTACAGGAATTAGAGCTCCAGTCCTCATTTGTTAGTAGTGTTCCCTTGGGCAAATGAACATATCTGCACCTCAGTTTCTTCATTAAAATGGGGATAATAATAATACTGACAGGAGTGTTATGAGGGTTAAATGAGTTAATGTACTTAAAGATGTTTAGGATAGTGTCTGGCAAATGTTAGTTATTATTTTTACTGCCTCATATTGTTCAGCTCGTCATTTTTCCTGAATTTCCCTCCTTCCTTTAATCTGTTTCAGTGCTCTGCTGACTTTTGGCACGTCTGGCACAAGCTTTGTTAGAGTGGAGGCTCAACTGTTTCTCTAAAATGAGAATTTTGATCTTTAACTTTATTTTCTCATATTGTTCTCTTACATTTAACTACAGATAATTTTTATCTGCTTCTTGTCTTTTTTTTATTATAAATGGGGTTTTGAAAATGCAATAGTGGGAATTTCCCTAACCATTTCAGTTTAGAAATGTGTGTCTGTGTGTGTGTGTGACCTTGCTAAAACTGTGCATTCTTTCCCCTTGTTCAGGATGTTTGATGTAGGTGGCCAAAGATCAGAACGAAAAAAGTGGATTCACTGTTTTGAGGGAGTGACAGCAATTATCTTCTGTGTGGCCCTCAGTGATTATGACCTTGTTCTGGCTGAAGATGAGGAGATGGTATGTTGGAACTTCTGGTAAATAAAAGGCCTGTCTAATGCAAGCAGGAAATGGAAAGTAACTCTTAGTAAGACTTTGTGCATCCATTTATTTACTTATTGAACCAGAACCTAATAGTCTTAATTTTTCTCCTTGTCAGTGAGATTAAATTTTCAAATTATTGATCTATACACTAGTAACTGTAAGGAGATATGACAGCACATTGAGTATATTGACAGGATTAGGTCTCTTATTAGCCAGTCCTTATTCCCACTTCCCAACCTTCAAGAATTATAAAAATAAGGACTGACTCAGCTTTTGTATTATCAGTATCTGACTAGTTTCCATGATTGCCCATCAGTGGTTTTAAAACTTTGTGGTCTGGGACTTCTCTTGTGGTCCAGTGGTTAGGATGCCACACTTCCACTGCAGGAGGCATGGGTTCAATCCCTGGTCAAGGAACTAAGATCCTGCATGCTGTGTGGCATAGTCAAAGAGAAGAAAAGAAATAAACCTTTTTTGGTCTGTTTTTCATTAACAGTTAATCTACTTTTACTTTTTGCTACTGACCTATGTCATCCTTTGTTTCTTTCTCAGAACCGAATGCATGAAAGCATGAAACTCTTTGACAGCATTTGTAACAACAAATGGTTTACAGACACTTCGATCATTCTGTTTCTCAACAAGAAAGATCTTTTTGAGGAAAAAATAAAGAGGAGTTCATTAACTATCTGTTATCCAGAATACACAGGTAAAGGGTCATGAAAGATTTTGTTGGAGGTATACATCTTGAATCAAAACTTTCATGACCTTCCTACAGCTGTCATTCGTTTTGAATATTGTATGTATCTCCTTATGGAGAATGTTCATTTGTAGTGGTATCAACATTAAGCATGTGCTTAAGACCCCTTAAGTCTAAAGTGCTATTCCAGATATAATCATATTTATGATGTTTATATTTCTGTCCTCATTTTTTGAGGCAAAGAAAGATAAAAAATTGGTATAAATATATTCACAAAAAACAAGGATAAGATAGAGTTTTGCACTCAAGAAACTGACATTTGTTACAGAAAGAGAGAGAGACACATGTAAAGAATTTCATTTTAGTGTGAAATGTTCATTAATAAAAAAGAACCAGAGACGTGGTTACCTCAGTGGGATCAGTGTAATCTTTTTCTAGAGGAAATGACACTTAGAGTGATAAAATAGGAATAGAAATCATCAGGCAGGTGGGGGAGTAAAAACATTTTAGGAAAAGAAAATAGCATATATAAAAATCTGCAGTTAAAATTGACATGATTTGTCATAACTGCCATGACTGGTAAGGACATCAGTGGCTTCACTTGAATTTAAACCAGCTCTAGATAGGAAAAAAAATCTCAGTCTCCTCATTTGCTATTTCAGTGGAGAGCACATCTCATATTTTAGAACAAATAGGGGTGTCTTGCTTAAATAAAAATAGCATTTAATGTATAATTGTGTGAAAAGTTTATGGGTAAAGCTGTATTTTTGCAGCATTGTGATAGTACCTTCTGCTTTAATATTAAACAGCTTGTTATTTAAATACTGGATCAAAATGGTTGGCTTCAAAATGTCGTCATTAATAAACTAACTTCATGTGCAAAAGAAAAAGACACAATTTGTTCTGAAACCTAGGAGAAATTTGATATTGCTGGAGCTTAGACTGTGAGGCGGAGTGGTTGGAGAAATGGCCAGGGATGCTCGTAGAGGGCACTGTATGCCATGCTGAGACGGGGGAACTATTGAAGGATATTCTTTGGGGTACGTGATGTAGTAGAAACTGATTTTAAAAGATTACATAATAGATGCCAATAAAGATAGATAGTAGGGGAGTTGATTTAGTAAGGACTTTCAGTATGTACATAGAAACTTTTGGTGAAGGTGCAAAGACATATCATAGAATTCAAGGACAAAAATGCAGACAGTTCTCAAAAATGCAGTTAGAATTAGGAAATATTGTCAGAAACCCTGGAAGCCCTTCTTCCCCCATCTTTTTTCTCTCCTATGTCTTCTCTATTCTTCTCTCTCTCCTTACCAACTCTCTCCTGTTCCGTTTATATGATAAAAGTTGGCCCTGTCATGGTTTCTGTATCTCCTCCATTTAAAAAACCAGGCTAGGGAATTCCCTAGTGGTCCAGTGGCTAAGACTCTTCGCTCCTGATACAGGGGGGCTGGGTTCAATCCCTGGTCAGGGAACTAGATCCCACGTGCCACAGCTAAGACTCTATGCAGCCAAAAAAAAAACAAAAACAAAAACCCAGGCTAGATTGGAATTGGTTGGCCCAAGGTTCAGATTGATTGGCCAAGGTTAAGTAAGGCAAAAACCCTTAGCTAAGTCAGTTGAGGTTAGGGTCAACAAACGTGAGCACTAGGGCTGTACCATTATGACCTTTAGATCAGAATTAAGTGTCTCTAGGAAAGGAGGCCTCCTGTTAGCTGAGCAGGTGCTGTAAATGCCTTGTATCATAAGGTGGGACAGTGTAGCTAGGGTGAGGAAGTGGAGAGAGGCAGAGGCACTCTTGACTGGTACTTGGTAGTTTCATTTAGGAATGTTAAATAGGAGTTCATATTTTGGAATGTTGGTTTTGAAGTTTCTGAAACATCCTGATAGAGATATTTAATAGATAGTTACATATATGGCCTTGGAGCTTGGGGAGAGGTTAAAGGCTAATAACAGATACTGATTTGGGATCATGTGTAAATACAACATGAAAATGGATGAGATGACCTAGGGTGATGATATAGAATGAGGAGAGAAAAGAATAGAATGGGAGCAATTACCAGCCTCTGTTGGCAGGAGAGAAAGAAAGGTTAGTATTGGATATAAAGAGAAGAATCTGGAAAGCTAAAGTGTCATAAATTAAGAGGAGAGTTTAAATAGTGCAGAGTGGTCAACAGTGTCATATGCAGATAAGTAAAGTAAATGCATTTTGAAAAAACGCCTTGTGGAGCTAGCAGTTAGAAGATCGTTGTCAATGGAGAGCATTATCAGTGGAATGATGAGAGCAGAGCCAGGACCAGTGAGTTACTGAGTGGGAAGTGAAGAAATACAGACAAGTGTAGCCTCCTCTTGAGCAGTTTAGATTACAGAGGAGGGAGAGATCTTTAAATGTCTATAGGCTTAGAGGTAAGATCCTAAAGCAAAAGAGAAGTTGTTAAAAGTGGATGTAATTGATGGAGCAAAATTTGTAAACAGGTGGGAAAAGAAGGAATCAAGAGTCTAGGTAGGATGAATGGATAAATAAATTAGTACATCTGTACTATGGAATATTATTTAGGTATGTATGTTTGTGCTTGGTCACGTCTCTCTCATTGTGACCCCATGGACTGCAGCCTGCCAGGCTTCTATTTAGCTATAAAAAGGAACAAAGTATTGATAATGCTACAGTTTTGATGAATACTGTAAACTTTATACTAAATGAAAGAAGCCAAACAGAAAAGGTCACATTTGTATGATTCCTTCTATATGGTATATCCCAAATAGGCAGATCCATAGAGACAGAAAGCAAGTTGGTTGGCAGGAAATTGACACAGGGGAATGAGGAATGGTTATTTAATGGGAATGGGGTATTTTTCTGCGGTGGTAGGAAAGTTTGAAACTAGAGAGAGGTAGTGATTGTATAACATGTGGCTGCACTGAATACCACTACCACTGTATTGTAAACTTAGTGCATGTTATGTGAGTTTCATTTCAACTTAAAAAGTTGAGATGTAGTGTTTTTTTTTTTTTCCATTTATTTTTATTAGTTGGAGGCTAATTACTTTACATCATTGCAGTGGTTTTTGTCATACATTGAAATGAATTAGCCATGGATTTACATGTATTCCCCATCCCGATCCCCCCTCCCACCTCCCTCTCCACCCGATCCCTCTGGGTCTTACCCAGTGCACCAGGCCCGAGCACTTGTCTCGTGCACCCAACCTGGGCTGGTGATCTGTTTCACCCTAGATAATATACATGTTTCGATGCTGTTCTCTTGAAACATCCCACCCTCGCCTTTTCCCAGAGTCCACAAGTCTGTTCTATACATCCGAGTCTCTTCTTCTGTTTTGCATATAGGGTTATCGTTACCATCTTTCTAAATTCCATATATATGTGTTAGTATAATGTAATGGTCTTTATCTTTCTGGCTTCGCTCTGTATAATGGGCTCCAGTTTCATCCATCTCATTAGAACTGATTCAGAGATGTAGTTTTAAAGGCCTTGTGGCCTCTCTTTTCTTAGGGAATTAGAACTGCAGTTTCTGTTAAGAGTGAGGAGGAAGATGAAAGTTGGTTAAGTTTATAGAAGGTAGCCAGATTTTAGAATGGGAGAAAAATCTTAAGTAAAGGATTGATGTTAATGTTTCAGCTGGGAATCTTCACACACAGCCAAGAGTTGCCAGTATCTTATCCATTTTTCAGTAGGGGGTGGGGTGAATTTCCAAGCCTGTTTTCCATTGCTGTCATTCTTCTTAAGAATTTTCACAGTCTTGATTTCCCAGGTATCAGTATCTCTTCCTACCAAACTAAAATCATGTTTTGGTCATCTGTCTAAATTTTTGCCTTTTCATATACCTCATGGGGCAGAGAAGGGGGCAGCAGAGGGATGAGATGGTTGGATGGCATCACTGACTCAGTGGGCATTAATTTGAGCAAACTCCAGGAGATAGTGGAGGAAGGAGGAGCCTGGCATGCTGTAGTCTATGGGGTTGCAAAGAGTCAGACATGACTTAGTGACTGAACAACAGCTGCTTTAGTTTACCAGAGGTTCTGTACATCTCAGTAAATCTTATTCAAGCACCTACCAAGCTAGCTTCCTTCCTCTTTTAAAATACTGTTTAAATAATAGTCATTTTTCCTTAAGCTTTCCTTTGTTATTTAGTCTTCTTTATATACTTGGTTGTTGATATTTTTTTGGTCATGCTTAATGTCACTGAAAATAGCCTCTTAATTCTCAGGCAACTGTTTGTTGTCTTTGTTGAGTTTCCCTGGCTCTGCAACCAATTTCTAAGGCTATTGTAAAGACTCACAAGTTGACAAGATTGTTTCGGAAACAGGTGATTAAGAGTGTTAATTTTAAATGTTGTTGAAATAGGGTTACTTTGGATAACCCCCTCTTTGAAGAAATAACAGATTTATTGAGATCTTCACATACCATAAAATGCAATTCAAGCCCCTTTCCCTTTTGCATCTACTGTATTACCTTTGGTTATTTAAACTTGCTCTAAGTCTGTGAGTCTAAGCTCTGTTAAAACTGGATGATTTTGAAAAGAAGCATGAGTTACCCTTTTGAATTGTTTATTTCAACATCGATCCAAGGAACACAAGTTTTCTAACTTTTTAAGCAATTGTGTTCTTCTGGAAATACATCCTCCCATTTCCCTAGTTTCGTTTTATACTTTCTAAATTTTTTAGCTAAAAAATTCAAATAAAAGGGAAAAAGGAAAAAAGTTTTGTTTTCCTGGACCTTTGTGATAAATTTACTGACAATGAGATTGTGCACTCAAGAGACATGTGATTATAGAAAAACCTAAGGATTATAGAAAAATAGAAATCTGTTTATTTCAATTGGGTTATAGTCCTTCTCTCCATAAGTAAATGGTGATGGCCTGACTTAATTGAGTTCAGGCAGCTGTTACAATTTGAACTGAGAATATTGGGTGTCTGCCTCAGGTTCCAATACATATGAAGAAGCAGCTGCGTACATTCAGTGCCAGTTTGAAGATCTGAACAGAAGAAAAGATACCAAGGAGATCTATACCCACTTCACCTGTGCCACAGACACCAAGAATGTGCAGTTTGTTTTTGATGCTGTAACAGATGTCATCATTAAAAACAACTTAAAGGAATGTGGACTTTATTGAAGAGTGTGGATGTTAATAAAAGGTAAAACTTTCAACAGTTTAGTTATAGTGCTGTAGTCATGTCTCTTGACTTTGTAAACTTTTTCTAATTACAGCTATTTTTCTTTTCTAGTTATTACGGTGTGGAGTGTTGAGACCAGACTTCCTTTGCTGCCTCATTGGGCAGCTGCAAGCATGAACGGGACCAGGGAATGGCGGCAGCATGCAGAATCCTAGCACTCTTTTAGCACAATCTTCTGTATTAGGGAACTCTTAATTGACACGAGATGCTAAAGTCAGACATTGGAATTGGAGCAACTGTAAAGTATGATTTGATCACCGAGACATGACTTGGATTTCATAGTCTCAAACGTTAGGGCAGATGTGAAGTGAGGTGCTGCATTCTAGAACTTCAATATGTAGCTTACTGTTTTTCTTCTTCCCTCTTGACAAACCACCAGTAGTTCAGTTTTTCAAGTTTTGTTTTTTTTTTTCATCAAGGGAAGAATAACTTCACTGAATTTTATTTTTTTGTGAAAGAATCTTTATTAAAACACAAACAATCTTAACTATGCACATGATGTGACCAGATCATATTGAAAATATTCCTCTTAGTAGGAACTCTTTGTTTTTAACTCTAGGTATGGTCAGAATATAATATTTCCATAATAACTTTATTCTTTTCAGTTATTTGGGCTGTAATTATAGGTTTTTTGGATGAAATTTATCTTACTATCCTGTTCAGCATACATTATGGTTTCTAAATGAAGAAGTCTATAATACGATTCTAGCTCTCTTTTTTGTTTTTTTTTTAAGCTTGTGGTTGAAGGTTAACCTAGTTTATGCTGATCACCAAATTACTAGATAAATGCTGATGTAGTATGATAGTCAGCTTCTTGGATACAGACACACCCAGGGCAGCTGTCAGTTAGAAAAGTATATTGCTAAATTCCAAACAGAACCAGTGACTTTGCTGCTACATATCTGCTAAATTGATCACTTTGATTCTTGTTTGTTTGTCTAGTCATAGGGAGTTGTGTAAAAGATGCCCCATGTTTTCCATCTTCCATTGGCCTTCTCTGTTGAGAAACATCTGAAGTGTATTAAAAGTGCATGCTTTTACTTTGTAAATGTGGTGCCAAATCCCTGTTTGCCATTGTTTTTACTGTAGCAATGTTGATTGTAGTAATCCTTAGTCAGTACCTTGTTTTGTTGAAACTATTGATTTTGGGACTTTTTTCTACTTTGTCGTGTGTACAGATTTTAATCTGTTATAGTTGGCAGCAGTATTAAAATGGTGAGTAAAGAGTCCAGGTTTGTTCCTTTTTGTAATTAGTCCTTTCTGAAAATATTTTCTTCTGCTGTTTATTGCCCCTGCTGAGTGTGCTTAGGCCTTTGTCTGAGAATGGGTTTAGGTAGAAGGGTTCTCTGAAGGGCTTAAGTCTTTTGATGTTAATAGTACGGTTGAGTCTTGGCCTGACTGAGGTTGTTATGTCACATCTGTATAAGTGATACACAGTCAAAACCCATTTTCCAGATTTACATTTTGGTTGTGTGAAGAGCTCTTTTCACCTCAGCCTGCAGGTCCTTTTGTGCGATGTACTGCAAATGTCATTAAATATTGAATGGTCCATTAGGGGAAGGCAAATGAAGAGAATGCAGTTTGAGCATTCCATAGCAGTAATTTGAGCAGTGCCTTTTGGGGTTCAGTCTTTTTGGATTGGATTCTATTTCATCTTTTGATGTGACCTTTCAGTAGGTTTAAAAAAAATAAGGTTGGTGGTCACCAAAGCTGGGTCAGAAAGCAAGCCACAGCACTTCAGTGCCTTTATTGGTAGGTTTTTTCCTTTTTGCTTTCTTGGGAAAATTATAACTCTGCAGGTGGTATAACTGTATTATCTAACTTTTTTTTTTTAGGATTGGCAAAACTGGATCTAAAAGAAAGAAAATTATTAGCTTCAATTGGTGATTGACTTATGCTCACAGTGTAAATAAGGGATAGTTCTTGTGCATTTTGAGTATATCTTTTCCTTATTGTATTCTGTGATGTAGAATCATTTGGAAATGAGAACTGGTAGAATGTTACTTTAACTGTAGTTTTTCTGTAGTCTGGGCTAGTGGGATCGTGTTGTTGATAAACCAAAACAAGAGATAATCCAAAAAAGTTAATTTAACTTGAAATGCATTTTGTATTTTCATTTGAATATGTCTATCTGATGTGTTAATTTTTTAGCCTTTTCGTTAATGAAAAATAGTAATTCTCTTTTTTGACTTTATACCATTTACATTTATCCTATATATATGTGAGGATCACCTCTTACCCCTCCATCCCAAATAATTTATCAAAATGCACATTTGTTGAGGACAGTTTCAGTCAGTGGTTTTCAAATACGCTTTCAGTCAAAATCACCTGGATCCATCTCAGAGATTGACTCTTGACTGGCAGGCTAGCAGTCTATAATTTTAAAAAGGTAATTTTGATATGATGAATCTGATGGTCTGCCTTACAAACCACTATTGTGTTTTGAACTAAAAGATCTTTTCTTATAGCAGAGCCAAAATGTGGGGATGACACATCATATCTAGTGGCCTGGAGAAAAAGGATTGATATTTGTAATCAAAGAAATGAAAACTTGCCTGTGTCTTTTTGGTGGAGAATACTGGAAATTTGTGATGGATCATGTTTCAGAATTTAGTTGGCCAGGCTTCTCAGCACATCTAAGAACGTTAAAAAACATCTAAGAAAATTAAAAAATTAGATTACAATAAATAGCCATTAGCAGGGAGGACTGTAACAGCAGCTTTATTTTGTTGACAGTCACATCTTCGCCACCTGATTAAAACTCTGGGCTGTAAAATTGCCATCTGTTAGGCTCCTATGTAAAGAGGACGTATTCTGCTCCTTAATGGTCAGTCTTAGGGAATAAATAACCTTACAATTTTATCCTTTCAACAGATTTCACCTCCTGGCGTGAAAATTCTAAGAACTGTTAGAGTTATTCATAAGTGGATCTTGAAGTGTCATTTTCATCTTGGATGGTTTGAACTCTGGACCTCTAGTTCAGTGCATTGTACCTGACGGGTTGTGACTTTTCACAAGGTGCTTTCTTTCTAAGAAAGATGGACCACATTTTAAAAATCTGTTTCCTTGCCTGGTTTATTTTTTATTCTCTTATGTATTCTATTTGTGTTTTATTATATACACATTTTGGAGTATTTAAAAATAACTGCTGGTTCTTTGAATTTATTTGCTCACCTTATATTCTTACATTCTGGCCACTGATGTGTGGCCATTCTTTGTGATTTGTAGCTATAACTTTGTTTGGACCTTGATGACCTGATCTGACTAGTTACTTTTTTATATTTGTCCATTTGCTTAGCATAGTTCTGGCATTTCCTGTTGCAGAGCTCCTTGCTGCATTGGCAGTTACATACAAGGGGAAGTTAGACTCTCAATCAAAAAGCTGCCTTTGAATGATTTTTTTTTTTCCTTCTGGATGTTCAAAAAACAGTGGCCCCGTACTCACTGATACAAACCTAAAATATTAATAGTACTAATTCCTTTTACTGATTTCCTGTGAAATCTTTCATATGTGATACTGACTTTAAGAATAAAATTATCTCAGTTTCCCAGTACTACCAGGTAATTTTCTTCTTCCAGTTTAGTCTTCACAGTACAAATCAGAGACCTGACCTGAACCAGCTACAGGTCTCCTTATAAATTTATGACTGTCCAAACAAAAAAGAAAACCAAGCTGCTTAGAGATCTGGAACTTAGATACCTCTTACTATCAACTATCAGAAAGTAAAAGATTTAAGTGAGGCATACTGAAGAACAGACTTCCAGGATGGTCAGGATCCTTGTTCCTTTACCTTTGTTTAGGTTTTGAATCCCCATTCCCCCTCACCACTCCTCCTCCAGTTTTCTCATAACCTTTTATGAGTTACTTCTGCTGAGGAGAGCATATTTTAGAACAAATCAGGGCAGGACAGTTATTTTCTGATACTGTGTCAGGCCTGCGCCTGGCTTTACTCAAGTCGTCTCAGGAATCAGAGGTAATATGGAATATTATGCAGCAGTAGATACCTGTGGTGGAAGATTAACATAGAAATTCTTTGGCTAACCTCGACTCAATTAAAATATCCAAACCAGGTCCTTAAAATATGTATTTTTAAAATAAATTCCTCAGGTGGTTCTGATGTGACTATCCTGGGCCAACATCCTGGGGACAACTGAATAGACCTTATATTAAAGATCAACGTGAATAGTAAACAACCTCTAAATCACTAGTGAATGACTTGAGTTATTTTTTATTTGCAGTAAGTACAAAGCACCTTTTGTACATAACTTAAAGTGCCTTTCACCCAAAAAGTTAGTTTGAGGACTGTTTAGCCAAAGAACATTACTGCATTTTGGATAAGACTATTTAGTTTTTATACAAAACTTAGACAAAACAAGAAACTTGGGTTTTCTAAACATATATTTCATTTATTTCACTCCATTTATTTTCAGTGAAAATGGAAAGATACACAAAAGTAAAGATAAAGTCCTATAACAAAGATAACTATAATAACATGAATATCCATTTACAGTTGGTAGATAAAGAACAAAACCAGCTATAGAATGAAAGTCTTTTGGGGATGAGGTAGGTAAAGGGAATAATTGAGGAGTTAAATATATATCTCTGTATGCCCAGTGGTATATGTTTTCCCTTCCTGAAATCTAGTGGGAATCAACAGTAGGAGAAATAATCAAATATTAGTAAATATACTTATGGGGTACACCATCTCAATATGTTAGCATTAGCTGTAAGATCGTTTACAGCTGGAATATTAAATTCTGTACAATCTTGTTGTAAAGATATCCTATCTTCTTGCCCCCACCCCCCCTGGCCATATTCCTATGTGTTATCCAAACATTTTTACCAAGAGGCTTGTTTATATGTAAGAGAGAATCCCAGTGGACATAACAAATTATAAGAAAGTACCTGTTTTTTCTAACTGTTCATCTTTGCTTATAT